CGTTGGCCGGAGGGTGGGTGGTCGGCTGAGCAGTGGTCCAAAGGGACACAACGCTTCGTTCCGCAGAGCTGTTAACGGAGGGAACGGGCATCGAGCGTTTCCCGAAGTGAAATAATCCTCAAACGAACGTAACTTGTTAAAACGCAGCTTTCGGGAGAGCTTCTTAAACCAAAGATTACCAACCCTTCTGATTTCCCAAGCGCAACTTGTTTTTTCATGGGTTTTTGTCTGTTTGTTTTTTTTTAGATTCCCTCTGAAGGATTCGAAGCGTCTGATTCAGTGGCTTAAAGCTGTTCAGAGAGACAACTGGACTCCCACCAAGTACTCGTTTCTTTGCAGCGAGCATTTCACCAAAGACAGTTTTTCGAAGCGGCTGGAAGACCAGCACCGGTTGCTGAAGCCCACTGCTGTCCCTACTATCTTCCAGCTCGCGGAGAAAAAACACGACAACCTGGATTATGTCAGAAGCAGAAGAAAAATAGCAAGCCAGGTGCCGCTGCAGGATGGGGAGGACCCAAGGGAAGGAGGCTGTGAGGTAGTTCAGAGGACTTCATCTTCCGGCCAGGACTTCATGGTGATGCAAGGGACGAAAGAGATGGAGGAGGCAACGTTGCAAGCGGAAATTGGGTCGATGTCCGAGGAGGAAGGGAACCTCCGCAGCCAACTGGACGGCCCTCGGAGAAGGACGTTAGGTGATAATTTGGTGGCAAAGCCTGGACCTCAGAAAAAGCCTGAGAGATCTTCTGGGGAGGACTGTCCTAAAGGCGCCTGGACGGGGAGCTGGGTGTCAGACAGAAGTGGAGTGTCCGTCGATGACTTCACGCCTCCCGCCTCTGGTGCTTGCAAGTTCATCGGCTCCCTTCATTCTTACAGCTTTTCCTCTAAGCACACCAGAGAGAGGCCATCGTTCCCAAAAGAGCAGCTAGAAAGGAAAAGGCCAAAGAGAGACGTGGAACCAAGCTGCAGCAGCCATCTTATGGGACACGACAAGGCTGTAGCAGAAGGCTCCCCTACTTCATCCCTCACTGCGACCCCTCAGAAACCTTCCCAGGGTTTGTCGGCGTCCCCAGCGGACCTTACCCCTCAACCTGCTGCCGAGGCTGTGGTGGGGCGGAAGGGTGACACGGATGCCAACCCCATGTCAATCAACGAGGTCATCATGTCGGCCTCGGGAGCTTGCAAGCTCATCGACTCCCTCCACTCGTACTGTTTCTCCTCCCGGCAGAGCAAAAGTCAGGTGTGCTGCTTGCGGGAGCAGGTGGAAAAGAAGAACGGGGAGTTGAAACTCTTGAGGCAGAGGATCAGTCGCTCTGACAGTCAAGTCCGGAAGCTGAAGGAGAAGCTAGATGAGCTGAAG